GTCAAGAAGAAGGACCTGTTGCTGAATGATTCACGGCGTCTGTGTAGATAAGTTTGCTTTACTATATCAATTCTCTAAAGTTCTCTTGCTTTTGAGCTATTCTTATTTATTGGTCATTAAAGATAAATAAAAAAAATTTGTCCAGATTATTGCACGTTTACTAAAGATTCACACCCCAACAAACAATAATGCTTTAGCCCGATAAGTAACACTGTTTTGTTTCGTATCGATAACCCCCACCCGTCGGGTTACGGGGTACTATAGTTTGTCTAATGTCAGAACTTCCTTAGCCATTCATGTGGACCAATGGCGGTCACTATGGTAGCGTGGTATAACTGTGTCAAGTAGGAGTGTTGAGTCATTACTTAGGACAGGTTTTGGCTCCGGTCGGCGAAAGAAAGGGAATATTTTTCTTCAGTCTTCTGTGTTAGTTTTAGAGTGAAGAAGAGCTGCCCTACCTAAAATATGTTATTCTTGTTTCCATAGCAACAGACGGCCTCAGACTTTGCCGCGAGGGGAGTTCTTATAGTAGAATAACTATATCCAGTTCGACGACAGCCCCTTCTGATGTATGTCTACGTTTGGCCCACTAAAGCTGCAGTGAAGCAGTGGAAGAAGATAACTAAATCCAAGGCAAAACAAACGTTTTATAATTTACAATTTATTGTAGGGTTCTATAATCAAAGCACGTAAGACCTTATTTTCCTATTATGTTGAATATTTGAGGACCCTTTACACAACTGAGGTTTTTTTATATAGGTATAAAAATCAATCTTTCACCACATTTTATTGATCGTTCAGTTTTATTCAGTGTTATTTGCATTGGATTTTAGCCCTGCAATCAAAATTTAACCCCTGCAATCAAAATTTATGACATCATATTGTTTATCACGAAATAAAAGTTATCTTCAATCAAAATTTCGCTGTCTTTTCGAGTAGTTAGAGTATTTAAATTTCAACAGGAGCTTTAAGGCTAACGTCAACAAATCGTTATTCCTGAAATGGTTCATAGAAAATTTATCGCTTAAAGATTTCGATATTTTTTCTGGCTGAAACCAAGCTGCAGGTCCGAAAAGATAACTTAAATAGAATGAAAATATTTAGAACTATGTTTTTCAACCGTACTAAATGGGGAAAAAACTGTTATTTTTTTTCAAAACACTAATAAAAAAATCTTTCTTATTGTTAGCATGATAGTGATTCATAGTTCCAGTTATTTGTCTCAGTTTAGATTTCTAAGTTGCCTAGAAAGATTTTTATTTATATTAATGCAATTTAATTTCTGACATACTTCTTTCAGTTTTAAATAATATATAACGAGAAATGCTTCAGAGATGCAACCTATCTGTACATAACGCAAATTAAAAAGATATACTCTTATATCTTTTTTGCTAATTATCATATTTTTATAAAATAAGTGAAAATCGTAATGATTTGAGGAAGGCTCTTCAAATATGGCAATAGATTAATGGTAATTAATTAATGTTAACTTTTAATTAAGTTACAAAAATGGACTCGAAAATACACTTCCTCTGAATAACTCGAAAAATCCGTATTTTTTATCATTCTATTTCTCAAGTACTTTTTTACCAACTTTACTCACATTTTAATTTGTCATTTAAAGATAACCGGTTAAATTAATACAATAATTACAACTTAAAATTTTTCTGAACCTTATTAAAAATGAAAAATAATAAAAGCTATAAAATAATTATGTTTTGTAAGAAATTGTATCTTGATACACTGAATTTAAAATTGTGAGTAGAAACTATTCGAATCGCTTAAAAAATCCCGAGATAGTACGAAGGACATAAAAAGTTAGATTCACCTTTAAATACCTAAACTTTCGAAAGCTTTCTTGCTCAAAATATTGGGACCATAATTTCTAGATTTGCGGCTATTCTGCATATTTCGATAGTCAAAATCTAATTTCATAGAAAACAAGGTATGTTTATACAGAGAAAGCACGTTCTTACGACTAATATTGTATTTTAATTTACATATTGTGCTAATTATTATATTTGAGGTTGTCACGTCGAACCATTATGATCAACTCTTAATTCGTGAAAATCCGATCATTAGAACAAAAGTTATTCAAGCTGATATATTTTATTTTTTTACATTATTGTTTTTTTATATTATTATTTGATATGTGTACTCTACACTTAAACTAGCCTTGTTGAGCCACCTTTTCTTCAAAGACTGTTATAAAAAATTTACACAAATTTAGAACAATAACTGAAATTCCTTGTAACAAAACTTTGTAGTTTTATAAAATTCTTTTTCTATTATTATCACAAAAACAACTTTATAATTTCTATTTCATAATATTTCTACTCCGTTAGAAAGTAAGTTTGTTAAGGAAATATATTTTACCACAATTTTTGGAACATAAATTTCTCTTGTCTCTTTGAAGTTTCGGAAGTAAATGTTGATCGTAGTCCTAAACAGTCTGAAAGATAAAAGTAATTAAGTGTTCTTTAGGAAAAAATATTTTAAAAAGAGGAAGTCCTTGAACTTATAAGATAACAGTAGGAAATAAATATCAAATTAGAAAATATTTAAAAATACTTTCAAAATCTGAACGAATGTTTAACGAATCGTTCAAACGGTAAACAAATTGTTTGAATGTTGATCGTTTCAATGTTGAGCGAATTTTAAGAATAATTCTTGTGCCAAAATATCGATGAACACAAATTTGCAATTAAAATCTTGAGCAAGCTTGATTAAGACGGTTATTGTACTTTGAAGTGTCATTCTCACTGTATGCGATTCACGTACATCTGATCATCGTCGAGGTTAGAATAAGAACCTGATTGGTGAAATATATTCTTCCCCGGAAAACTCTCTGATTTTCACATATAAAAATTATGTAAGGCAAGATTAAGGGTTTTAGAGGATTTTCTTAACGAAATTTTTGATGCTTTGAAAGATACATATGTCACGGCGAAAGACCGAAATCAGTGGTTGTTGACTTTCACCGGTGAATGCCGACAAAACACCAAATACGTCGGTGAAAGATCGAATATTTCATTACATTCTTGTACATTCGGACCCTCACCGGTGTATGTCGACAATCCCAGACATGCTTTGGTGAATGTCCGAAATACTTATTACATTCGATTTGATATGAATTTATTCGTGGATATAATTACATTTATTCGATATTTTAAGCCTACACTGATGTTTTTTTAAGGATAAGTGCCACTGCCCGGTATACATTAGCTCGTTATACCCTACACTGATGTTTTTTAAGGTTAAGTGCCACTGCCCGGTATACATTTGGCCGGTATATCCTACACTGATGTTTTTTTAACGTTAAGTGCCACTGCCCGGTATACCCTACACTGATGATTTCTTAAAGTCAAGTGCCATTGCCCGATATATATTTGCCCGATACTCCAAACACTGATGTTTCTTCTAATCTATCGTCAGTAAGTATTGAAATATAGAATAAATATAAATATATCAAATAAATATAATAATACTAACGAATAAATTAATATAAAATTGGATACAACAAATATTGACATTCACCAAGCGACTATGCGATTGTTGACATTCTCCGGTGAGAGTCAGAAATAAGGTTATTTAGCAAATATTTCGGACATACACCAAGCGACTACGTGAATGTTGACATTCACCGGTGAATGTCGACATTATCCATATTTCGGTGCTTCACCGTAACATATATATTCGTTATGACCTGTTTTATTCTGAGATATGTGACTCCAAATAAAAGATAATATTCCAATTTTGCAGTAAAAGGACTCAAATTCACTCTATGAAAACACAAAAGTAACACATCGTCTACAAATTTAAGTATTTGTCTTAAAATTATAAATTCAAAGTTTTGTCTTTAAATCTATTTTACTCAATTCAAAAATGTTTTTTTCTTAATCTTGCGCGGAAGATAACTCGTCATATAATAAACTTATTAAGTTAAGACTTGGAAGTTACTTTGAATATAAAATGTTGTTTTAAATTCGTGCTAACACTTGAATATTGCTTAATATTTTGTATTTTTTTTTCGTTAATTATTTATTTATAAAAATCCAAAGAAAAAAGATTTTTTTCGATTTAAAAAATAAGTTTTATTTTTAAATATCTATGACCTAATATGATTTTGAAAAGAGTATAATTAACGGTCTATTATAAGTTGTTTCAAGTTATTAACATGATTTTTATGAAGCGCACGTGACGTTATAAGGTATCTATTTTTCTTCAAATAATTGTAAACGAGCATATTGATTATGTGTAAGTTTTACCCCATGGACTTTTTCACCATCATGGAAAAATTAACCTATGTAATCGATTAATTTTCATCGTAATTTACTATTATTTTATAATTATTAGCCTTTAAAATACAAAATCGGTGACGCCATCATCATACGTCAAGAAATTATTAACGTTTACTTTACATGTGATAACAGCACATAGGTAATCAACGATAACTAATTCATAAAAACGTACGATGAAACTAATTTTTGAACGATTCGAGCTGCAAATAGTAAATCAGTGTTATGAATTATTTATTATATTTTCCGTGGGATGCATCGCATGAAATGTTGTTCGGATAAAAACCGATCCGCACCAAATTTGGTGCGGATCAGTTTTAGAATATAAAATTTGTGAAAATTACATACAGACATACATACATATAAAAAATCTTTCTACTTATATACACTGGTCGACAAAATTAAGAGATGGAAGACATTTTCCTAAATATCTCAAAAAATACTGAATATAAATAAATGAAATTTGGTATGGATATAGCTTATTCCATGATGATAAAGTATGCAAAACAAAAATGAAAGTGCCATTCACTGGCAGGACCTATTGACAATAAATCCCATGTAGTCTGAACTTAAGGATAAAAGATGACAATAAAAGTGAGGCTTGTACAGTGTGTGT